CTCATTTGACCCCAAGAAGCCATGCTGGCTCAGAGCTGCTAAGCGGAAGTAGAAGGCACAGTACTAGTGTCATCTGGCAGTAGTGCTTGCCTTGAACACACCAGAGAAAAAGGAACTGCTACAAAAACAGTGGTCTCAAAAGAGAAAAACCACACTCACATAAAACCCCAGATTAAGAAAACCAAACCACCACCACCAAATCACTAGGGAGTAAAACAGTCCAAGTATCATTTTGGTTTCTTGATTCAGTTGTTTCACACATAATAGTTTTTCTTAAAAAGCAAAGAGAAAGTTGGTTAATAGCAATTTCTTGAAATAAGTGTAAAGAGAAGCAGCCTGTCAGACAAGTCCCTGCAGTGGACCATCCACAGGGGCTTAAATCATGGGTGGAAGCAAATTGGGTTCTTACTTTTAAATACCTCCTAACTCCCACAAATAAGATCTTTAGACTATAAAGCTGCAGGTGGAAACCAGTCATTGATTCACTCATGAGTTCGCCTGGAGTCTGGCAGTGTGTCCCGCTCTGTTGTGCGTGCTCACAGGAACAATCCAGATCATTAAAGGCCACTTCCATAAGCACAGAAAACCTGTCAAGCAACTTAAAAGCTTCTAGAAAGTGTCCTTAAGGAAGAAGGACTTTATAAAATGCACAATAGTAACATTGCTCCATAACAAAATGAATATATTCAACAATGTCTAGAAGACACTGGGGAAGTGTCACTCTGTGGTACAAAAAGCATTTTTTTTTTCAAACTACCATATATGCCCCATGTCATCTTTCTTTCATTGTTGTGTGCTGTTGAGAGGGAAACAACTCATAGCTGACACTCCAGTGGGTTTTAAGAACCAGTAAATTGCATAAGAGGACTCAGCCCTTCTCCCTTGGAGCTGCTGGTGGATTCGAACAGTGTGCCTCTGGAATTAGACTGCAGCTTCATACCACTTAGGCCAAGAAAAGGGGTCTCCTAATGGGACAGTTTAATGACTTGCAGCTTATACTGGTAGTCTTTATTCACAATACTTAGGCTTTTACTACAAGGTGTGCTCATTTATCGTTGCTGGAATGGCTTATTTTCATTTAGAAGCAGCTCTGAGATTGCAGTTTATTCCTATGATCAGTTCATTATCGTAAATTGGCGCGACAGTACAGGTTTCTCTAAGATGCCAAGGAGAATTCAGAGGGACAATCTGGCATGCATAATCTGTCATGTCGCTGTTCTGCGACTACACTACCCCTCAGGACACCAGGTGGCCCAGAGAATATCCAAAACCAGGCAAGTGCATTGGAGATCCTAGTGGGCTCCAGTAGCTGGGTGAATCATTCACTTTCTCTTTGATAGTTTCATGATTAAACCTGCATTAAAGACACCAACACAGGGTCCAGTTTTGTTCCTTTCTAATCACTCATCCTAGAGAGCAATACACAAAAAAGGCATTCCAGAAAATGACTCTTTTCTGTAATATGCACTGTTAATCAGGCACAGGATGTGTACTCGGTATATCAACTGTCTACAATTAACTAATACAAATGTCTATCTTAGGAAGCAAATTGGTGACCTGGTAACACACTGAAAAACAGTATATGGGTGTACGTACTGTGCTAGACTTTCTCTTAAGGATCACTGAGCCAAAGTTGATTAAGAAGCTTCATAAAGCTCACAAAATGGATTAAATGGTGCTAAAAAGAAACTACCCATGATTACGGTAATAAATTATCCACGTAGGGCAGGCAAAAAGAGTTCACCTGTGACAGAACAAAATTTATTCCATATCCTAGATTTGGGTTATCAGGCCTGCAGCACTGCAACTAGCATGATTCAGTGACACCATGACATCTGTTTTCTATGCACAACCACTTACAGATATTGTCTGGAAATTTCCCCATACTGCACAATTACCTGTTCTATGAAATGAAGAGATTCTCCCAATTTAAAGTGCCCCCTTTTATATAATGAGTGTCAAGCAGTTCTAATTTGAGTTGGGAGGTGGAAAAAAATGAGTAAAAGCCCCAACATTCTGGTTGTCTTCTCATACCGAGAAACAACATATTACACATCTAGTCATTAATATATAATATACAACATGCACAAATAGGGAACACACGGACAGACACAAAGTCCCTCCTAAACAGTAATTAGAAGTTTTGGTCCAATCCACATGATAAATCATAAAGGACAGGACACACATTACCTTCCATTCCTCTTCCACCCTAAATGCACAAACCCATTTTCAGATTAGGACAGAAAGGAATAAATAGAATTACCCTCTGCTTTCAAACACACACAGGCACACACGTACTGCACATATTTTCTAAGTATAGCTCTGTGTACACATACATACACAAGTGGACACCAACTGAAGAGCAACATCATCTCACGAGGCTTTCTGAGAGATCAGTGAGCCTGACTAGAAATGATGGCTGACACCTTGAAAACATCGCTACCAGTCTCTTGAGAGCTTGGTGTTCTGGTCTCTCTTTGGAGGAGCGGGCGGGGGTCCTCTCCGCAGTGTTGCATAGCCTGATATGTGACTGCCTCCGTAACTGGCCTTCTGCTGATCAGAAAGCAGCTCGGGGGGTGGTGGGGGCAGTGCCATGTCATCCATGGTGGCTGTGGGTTCTGCCCTGGACATCCGGGAGGAAGAGAGGGAGCCATGCCGGGTGATGGACTTGCGCTGAAGTGTCCTGTTGAGGTCAGCTAGGAATCCAGGCTGGACACTAAGGCTGGACTTGGGCGAGGTGGGCACTTGAGGCATGACTGTGGCCACTGCTGGCTGCTCCGGGATTTCTGCTTGCGTGAGGCGGGTGCTGTCGTTCCTCTTGGGTCTTGTGGGCGGAGGGGCCTTCTTCACTGACGTTTTGGACCACGGTTGAGGCTGAGGGTTAACAACGGCCACCTTTGGGGAGGTGCTGCCGGAGAATACCGCTGGGATCTCGATGGGCGGCGGTGGAAGCTCGATTTCCGGGGGAGGCGGTGGAAAGTCAGAATCGGAGGGAGGAGAAGGGAACTCCACCAGCGTGTCCTTTCTGTGGCCACTCAGAGCTGACACCTTGGCTGACACAGCCCCTGGCTGGAGACCTCCAGGAAGGTTCACTCCGGAGAGATTGAGTTTTCCAGGTTTGGGAGGCGCTGCAGGGGGTGGCAGCATCTCCTTGCTGGGAGACCCAGAGGGTTCTGCCGGCGGTGCAAACTTGCTGACCAGACTGTCCACTGAGGGTCTCTTGGGCTCCGGAAGCTCTGTGCTGCTGCTCGATTTAATGCTGGAGTTTCGCTGTGGGGTTGGGGGTGGCTTCTTTCCCCCCGGGCTGGACTTGCTCTTTTTGCCCGGAGACCCGCTTTTGTCGGGGGTGGGCGAAGCTGTGGGCACAGGCGGCAATGGTGGGGCCGGGGCGGGGGGCGGCGGTGGAGGGGCTGGTGCTGGGGCGGGGGGCGGCGGGGGCGCCGGCGGAGGAAACACCAGGCTGCTTTCTGGGGGCGGGGGCGGAAAGTCTGGGGATGGGGCTGAGATGACACTGGGCTGCCATTTGGGCTTTGCCTTCACGGCTGGAGGGGACTGGGGGGCTCCATGCGTCGGGAGGGGCTTTAGGGGAGCGGCGTCGAGGGGCGGAGGGGTGGGAGGCGGGGGGAACTGGCTGGCCATCTGCTTCACCACTGAGGGCCCGGGGGACAGCGGGGAGGCCGGGGGCTTGAGGCTGAAGCTCTGCTGCTTGGGCAGTGTGGGAGGGGGCAGCGGGCCAGGGGGCGGGGAGGGCGGCACGTGAGCCACAGGGAAAGGGGGCTGCTTCTTGGCGGGGGGCACCGGAGGGGCAGGTGCCAGGGGCACAGCCTGTGAGGTGACAGGTGGCCCAGTCTTGGCGCTG